ACCTCAACTAAGTTGTTGTGATAAATGCACTTAATACAGAAGTTTGCCCAATGTCATTTCCTTAAACTAATTATTTTGCTTAAGGGGAAAGTCAGTTCATCAAGAGAAGAGGTCAGTTGAAATTCCTCTGTTCCTCAGCACTTTCAATCAATCTTAACAGTTATATAGCTTAAATCTTTATTTCAACATTAAAATAAACTCTTTGCCATTGTAAATAAGCCTGATATTTCTAAGATTATGTCATGAATGCAAAATTGATGGGGGAAAATGTAAGAAACTGCTTAATGTAGATAGAGTTGACTGATGTTGAAGAATGCCGTTTGCAGTATTTAAGGTTGAAAATAGGGATTTTTTTTATGCTTTTTTGTTTAAAATTGGTTTTCTATTTATCGAAGCACAGCCACTCAGAATATTAAGTGATGTATTTACTCAAGTTGAGGGGAAGACTATAAATACCTTAAAGAATGATTATGGGTTACAGCCACGGAAGTTTTTGCACATACAAATAAATAGTTACACATTTTATTTCTTAAATAGCTGACCCTCAAGTACATCCTTAATTATGGAGTAGATACTAATAGAGTCATAGAATGGTTTGAGTTGGAGGGGACCTTAAAAATCATCTACTTCAACCCCTCTGCCATTGATGGGGGCACCTTCTACTACATCAGGTTGCTCAAAGCCTTGAACACTGCTGGGGAGGGGCCAGCCACAGCTTCTCTGTGCAACCTGTCCCAGTGCCTCACCACTCTCAGAGGGAAGAATTAGTTCCTTATATCTAATCTAAATCTGCCCTCTTTCAGTTTGAAGCCGTTGCCCCTTGTCCTATCACTACATACCATTGCAAAAAATCCACCTCCAGCTTTCTTTTAGGCTCCTTTTAAGTACTGGAAGTCTGCTGGAAGATCTTCCCGGAGCCTTCTCTTCTCCAGGCTGAACAATACCAACTCTCTTAGCCTGTCTTTATAGGAGAGGTGCTCCAGCCCTCTCATCATCTTCATGGCCCTCCTCTGAACCCACTCCAGCAGCTCCATGTCCTTCTTATGTTGTGGCCTTAGGACTGAACGCAGCACTGCAGGTGGGGTCTCACGAGAGACCTTGCACTCGGTCTTGTTGAACTTCATGAGGTTCTCTCAAGCCTGTTGTTGTCCCTCTGGATGGCATCCCTTTTCTCCAGCATGTCGACTGCACCATACAGGTTGATGCTGAGGATGCACTTAATCTCACTGTCCATGTTGCTGACGAAGATGTTAAGTAGCACTGGCCTCAGTACTGACCCCAGAGGAACACCACTGGTCACTGGCCTCCACTTGGACTTCGAGCTATTGACAGCAACTCTTTGAGCGCGACCATCCAGCCAATTCCTTATCACCCACTGAGTGGTCCATCCATCAAATCCATGTCTCTCCAATTTAGAGACAAGGATGTTGTGCGGGACAGTATCGAATGCTTTGGACAAGTCCAGGTAGATGATGTCAGTTGGTCTTCCCTTATCCACCAGTGTTATAACCCCATCATAGAAGGCCACCAAATTTGTCAGGCATGATTTACCCTTAGTGAAGCCATGTTGGCTGTCACTAATCACCTCCTTATTTTGCATTGCCTTACCATAGTTTCCAGGAGCCTCTGCTCCATGATCTTGCCAGGCACAGAGGTGAGACTGACTGGTCCATAGTTCCCTTTTTAAAAATGAGGGTTATGTTTCCCCCTTTCCAGTCAGTAAGAACTTTACCAGATAATCATGCTTACAGTATATGAAAAAACATTTTTTTAATTGACTAGAAACACCGATAAAGTGATACCTACATTTTAGATTACCATACCAAGTCATTTGGATTCCACCCTTAGTTTCTGAATTGTATTGGGTTCACTTAGATACCTGTCTGCTTAGGGCAGGGCAGTTCTCCAGAAGCAGATCTGGAAGCACATTCACTGTTTTCAGGTGTGTTTGCTTTTTAGTTTTTGTTTGGTTGGTTGGTTTTTTCCTCTCTCTGATTGGTTTACTTGATTAAAGTGTACCTGAGTATTGTTTCATTATACTCTGAATTTTCTCCTGTCTTCTCTTTTGTTATAAATGCCTGGCACAGCAGGTCTGATTCTTTGTCTAGCAAAGACAACACTTTGCTACTTTTTATTGATACTTATTATCACTAAAATGTGATAGGACTATGAAGTATTAAATGTAGCACAAGTTTTTCACAAACTTATTCTGTTATCAAAATTCAAACATGCAATCTCCCTTGCCCTTTTAATTTTTTTATAATCTGCCTTCCTATTTCTTGTGATTTAGAGGAAGTGTATGTTTACAGGGAGGTCAAATATTGCTTTTAGATTCTTGGAAGCCACACGTTTGTAGTGATACTTGAGACTCTTCACTATTGGATTACGTGTTGGTACAAGCCTAAATTGGTACTGATGCAAAGAAGCTTATTTCTGAGTGTCGTGGTTTAACCCCACCAGCAGCTCAGCTACCATGAGGTCACTCACTCCTCCCCCTTGGTGAGGTGGAGAGGAGAAAAATGTAACCAAAGGACTGAGGGTTGAGACAAGAAGAGGGAGGGATCATTCACCAACCCCGGTCCCAGGCAAAACGGGCTCGGCTTGGGGACAAATGAATTCAATTCGTTAATGGTTCATTCAGAGAGGATAACAAGAAAGCAAGCCAGATCTTACAAACACCTTCCCCCCACCCCTCCCTTTTTCCCAGCTCTGCCTCCTCCCTCAATGGTGCAGGGGGACAGGGAATCGGGGGTCTGCAGGTCAGTTCATCACACGTTGTTTCTGTCACTCCTTTCTTAAAGTAGGAGGACTCATTACACTCTTTTCCCTTTCTGCAATGGATCCCCTTCTCATGGGACAGTCCACAGACTTCTCCAACATGAGTCCTTCCCACAGGATGCAAACCTTACCCATCGGATTGCTCTGGTGCGAGCTTTTCCCAGAGTCACAGCTTCTTAGAGAGCTGCCACCCACTCTGGCATGGGGTTCTCCACGGGCTTCAGGTGCCCCTCCGCCTCATTGTCAGTCACCAGCAGCAAACGGAGACCATTCTTTACAACCTTCTTCAGGCACAGGCATCTCTGCTCCAGCGTGGGGTTCTCCACGAGCTGTGAGTGGATCTCTGCTCCACCGTTAATCTCCACGAGCAGCAGGGGAGCTGCTGCCCTCTCTCCACGGGCTGCAGGGGGATGGTCTCTCAGCTCTGGCACACCTCTTCCTGCTCCATCTTCACTGACCTTGGTGTCTGCATAGCCATTTCTCTGAGGTCTCAGTCCTCTCTCCACTGCAGCCATGCCGGGCCCGACGAACCTCAGCAGTCTTGGCAGGATGAGCTCTGCCCAGCGGACATCCGGGAATGGGTTGCTTTGTAGCTCTCCAAGCCACGCCGCTGCGGCTATCTTCAGTCAGGTAGTGGCAGCCCAGTGCAAGCAGCCATCCACCTGGAAGGCTGGGGGGCAGCCCCCCACCTCCCTCCTCTCCAGTGTAGGTCCAACCCTGGTTTGGGCTCCTTTGTCACCTTCTTAAATAGGCTATTTCCAGAGACGCTGATGGCTCATCCCTGGCCAGAGGGAATGGGGGGGTCTGACCTGGCCAGAGGCCAATCTGACTGGTTTTGGAGCTGGGGAAGCTTTTCACAGCTACTTACAGGGGCCAGTTCTGCAGCCCCACTCATGCTACCAAAACCCCATCATGTAAACCCAGCACACTGAGGGCTGCTTTTATTTACTTATATATAATTCATATTCTCCATTCATTTCATCCTAGCATAATTATTTGTGGGTCTGCTACTACAACTGGCATTTCTGTTTTTTTGCAGCAAGCAGATCCAGCTAAATGCCTCAATTTTTTTTCCTTTAGGCTGTCACACTCCCTGCCATTATGTGCTGAAAAAGCATTGTGGAGTAACTCGTGCAGATTTGTTGTACCCAAATATTTTGGTTCACGTGTTAGACTTCACTTTGTACGCCTTGGTTTCACAAAATAAAATGTTGCTATCTAATTCACAGTTAAATAAGGAAAAAATAAGTACAACATCCAAGAACATTGGAAGGGGTCTAACTATGTTTTCCCTTCTTGCAGGGCAAGAAGAATGGACCAATTCACGACACAAGGCACCTTCTGCAAGGACAACAAAAGGAGTCTACAGAGACCAGCCATATGCCAGATACTGATTGTACTATCTGATGTTGTGAAATATCCAATCTCCACCAGTCTTGAATACTGTTCAAAGTAATTTTTTCTATGAACAATCCGTTTTTATTAAACAAAGCGCATAAAAATCTGAATGGATGGACTGAACTTAAAATATTTTGTTGAAAGAACAACCTGGACAGAAAGATATGTAAACTAAGGAACTTTGTTGTTTCCAAACTGTATTTGAAAAAATAGGTGATCAAAAAAATAACCTTTGATTAACTAGTGTTAAACAAAAAATAGGTTTACTAAAAATGTTAGTCCATTCTTTTAACATAAGCGTAACCTTTTATTTTAAAGGTTTTCAACAATTTAGTTTTTAGTTTTTATTTTCAGCCATTTGCTAGATTTTCTCTTTGCAAACATGCGTAAAAAGGGAAGCAAATTACAAATGCAAATAATGTGGTATTTTGTAACTCAAGTCTTGAAATGTTCTGTAGTGTTAAGCAAAGTTTTACCCTTGCTTGATACTAAATAAACTTTTGAAAGAAAATCAGTGTGTGTGAGATTAATTTTATGCTTCATCTTATAATAAAACTTCATAAATAGTAGTAAACAGGGAGAAATATGTTTAACAGTGATCAGCATAAAAGGCTCATATTAAACGTTGCGCTACTTCTTTTTAAAAAATGGTATAAACCTAAATGTATATATATATACTCACGGTAGATATAAATGCTGTTTAAAGTATCCAAATGGTATGGATCTGCTTGAGTGCCACATTAAATCAAAATATTTTTGTTAAAAAAATGGTTTAAAATAGCTAATGAATTTTCTGAAAAAGATGTGACTAGTTTTCATCTTGTTGAGCATTTTTTCACTAGTGCAACTTTGGAATTTTTATGAGAATTTTGGTACGTTAATGACAACCTCGCTCCGTGCTGGAAGCAATAAACACAAAGCTTTTAAAGACTTTCTGACTTGACTAATTGAGGTCGCTTTCGTCAGAGGCAGAGGATGTGTAACCCTTAAAACGGTCTTCATTTGCAAAGGTAAATAAATCAAATAAGATTTTAATCTCACTTAATTTATATTAATATAACCAATAAAAACAGGGAGGATACAACTTAGAAGGTTTCATTTTAGAATGTAGGAAAGACTTTAAGGACATCTAAATTCTCATTTTAAAACGTTTAATTTGTTTCAGTCATCTAAAAAGCCTTAGCTTAGCTAGTTAAATTTGGACAAACTATTCCCTATTAAACAACTGTAAAACCTCATAACTAATAGTTTGTAATATATTATTTTTCCATAAATTCTAGTAACTTAAACATTACAAATGTTATCTAAAGCTTTTTGTTAATCATTATGTTTCTATTAATTATAGTTTGATTTACATTGTTTTCTTTAGTTTTTATTTGAAAGTCTTTGAAATTTAGTAAAAATATCTGTTTTCTCTTGTCAGGAAACCCACCACCTTGGACAGCCAAGAGAACAAAAACCTTAATCTTCTGATGCTTTGGTAGGTATCTTTACTCATCTGTGAAATTATTAGATAAATAATGGAGCTTTTGGTCAGGTCCTTAATTCTGTATACACAAGGCTTTAATTTACATAGTGATTACAGGTACTGAGCCAGCAAAACACATTGGCTATGCTCAGTTCTGGTGGGAAAAGTCGTAGTTTTAAACTGTCACTAAACAGGACATTAAACTGTCCCAGTGTGTGACCGCTGTCCTCTGCCTGTTTGTTTATTGAAAGTTATACATAGCTTTGACAACATTTCAGCCAATTATTTTGTTGGACAGAGGAAGCTGAAAGAAAATGAATGTAATTTTCATAGAATCATAGAATGGTTTGGGTTGGAAGTGACCTTAAAGATCATCTTGTTCCAACCTCCCTGCCGTGGGCAGGGACACCTTCCCCTAGATCAGGTTGCTCAAAGCCTCATCCATTTTATGCTAGTAGTGTTCAAATGGGAATTTAAAATGCTAATCTGAAAATTTTAAATTTTAAATTAATGCCTCTCTTATGCCCAGAGAGGTGGTGGATGCTCCATCCCTGGAGACGTTCAAGGCCAGGTTGGACAAGGCCCTGAGCAACCTGATCTAGTTGGAGATATCCCTGTTCCTTGCAGGGGGGTTGGACTAGATGACCTTTGAAGGTCCCTTCCAGCCCTAACCATTCTATGATTCTATGATTCTATGATCTGGTCAGCAAACATGTCTAAAATAGTTTTCCAAAGCTGAAGAAAGCATTTCGTAGAATTGTTTTCCAAGTCAAGCATTTCTGCATAAGGATCAGACTGATTGTTGGCACAAATGAAGGAGAACAAGTCCATTGAGAAACATTAGCTGAAGACTAGCTAGCTCTGCTGTTTCTGGTGAATTCAATGTATTAAGAAATAATTTAATTATATTTATACTCAGACTGTGTATATTTTAAATAGAATAGAGTTTTTTTCTTTATTTCCTGCTTGGAATGATAATTCTTCCTGCTAACCTTATGATCTCAATGTCTTTAGTTGATGTTACTTAGATAAACAGAGCTCTATGCTTTGAAATGTGGCAGGGGGGTTGGAACTAGATGATCTTTGATGTCCCTTCCATCTCTAACCATTCTATGATTCTATGAAATATGGCATACATTGCACTGCCTTTGTGTACCGCAGTAAATTTAAGAGACTGCTGTCACAGGCTAAAGGAACTTTTTGTACGTACAAAATGACTTCAGAACAATTTCGAAAGTACTTTAAAGATTTAGAGCAAAGGACCCTTTTAAGGTTAGGAGAGCTTGAAGAAGATTCCTGCTCTCTGGGGCTCAAAGGGCAGAGATCCGATACCAGCTGCTAGAACTGCTATGGCAAAACTGAGTATATAAATATCTTTTTAAAATATTTATAATGGAATTGGCCAAATCTCTATTTCTGTTCACATCTTAAATCACATAATATGATGAGTCACATGAGTCATAACAAGTTTTCATTTGCAAAAATGAAGTTTTATATTAACTTTATGCAATGAAACCTGATGGATTGAAACTAGAATATCTAGTAGGAGGGATGACTAGTAGACGAATGAGAATCAAATCATAATCAGAAGCGAATTCAACCTTCCATAATATTTATCCAACTCTTTTTTCTTTTTTTTTTTTTTTAATGCAGTCTTTCCTTCATTCCTCCTATATGGAGGATGAAAGTATCAGCATGCATTTGTGCTACTTCTCTGCTGCTCTGCCCTCAAGTCCTATAAACCCTTAAATTGTTCCAGGTTCCTTTTAGGAGGAAAAAAAGTGTGTCCCTGTCAAATCATACAGTGGCTGTTTGGATGCACCATTGTGTGACGGGCTGTCATATAACTGGATGTTGCAGGTCACATGAGTAAATTAAAAGAAAATTCCCATCCTGACTAAGAGCACACCAGTCCTATGGTCAGAAGTCTGTGACCCTATAGTGCTCCCATTAAGTAGCTGGGGCCCACCTTGGCAGAACAGTTAACCACTTGAGTCCAATTTTATTCTTTTAATGAGTTGCAAGATCTAAATTTGATGCATCTAAGAAAAAGTCTTCATATATTAAGCATAATAGTGGTATGAATTTTTAAATCCATTAAGCCTTCCTTCTTCCAATGCTCCACATCTGATTTCTCCTAAGAAAATGTGGTTTCATGCCTCTTAAAAAAAAAAAAAAAAAGTTGTATCAATTCTCATGTCCTATACATGTGCGTGCAATAAATTGCATCAGTTCAAACAGCTGGTATTAGATATTCTTAGAAACTACATATTTGCAGTACAAAACTTCTTTTGACAGTTCCTGAAATAACATGTGCTAGCATTGTGTTCTGCTGGTGCATTTCTGTTTGTTTGGTTGTTTTGGGTTTTTTTTATATGGAGTAATCTATGAAATGAAATCCATTAAGTTCTGAACAGAGGAAAAAATAATCTAGAAAAAGTCTCTAAATTAAAAAAAAAAAAAATGATGTAAAAGGCAGCCTTTATTTTATTGTGACAAACTAGCCCAGGAACGTTTATACATTCTCATAGGATTTTGTGTTCTGACACTGGTCAATTTATGTGTTTTACTGGTCAAACAAGAAATTTTAATGATTATAATTAACTATATCAATAATTTGCCTTTATTGAACCTTTTTATCACATTGGCACTATATTTCAATTCTAGCAGTTTCTGCCATGGTTTCCATAAATCTACATATGTTTATTATATGCATAATTATGTGATGCCGCTGCATATAATCTGACAGTCTGCAGAGAACTCATATTCGCCAGTCTTGGGATGTATACAAATAAATTATATTTTTCTCTTTTTCAGGAACTTCTGCCATGTTACTTATGGACTGCTTAGAGCATTGTACTTATTCGTGTGCCTAGACAACGAGACAGGCTACGGAGTATGAAAATCCTGTTCTGTATTTCTTGTATTAAAGCCTTAAAGTGTATAATATTATACACTTTTTAAAATAATTGTATATTTAAACTCTGAATTGTTTAGTGATGCAACAATGTTTTATTTGGAGCTCAATAAAGAATTTTCATCTAAGTTCCTGTTATAAAGCAATAATGCAAGTTCATGTTCCTTTGGTGACTCTTTTTAGCCTTATGCAGCAAGTATAAGAGAGTGTGTGAAGTCTTATGACTAGAATTTAAATAAAAGCTTTTGCAAATAGCTTGTCTAATGTATGAACAACATGGATAAGTTAGAAGGAAGATTAGTGTTTTATGCTGAAGCTTTTCTTAATAGCTAATTGTAAACAGGTCTACTCAAAACAAGACTCTTTGGTAGAAATGATACTCCAACTTCCATTTCTCTCAGAAACTTGTACAACATGAAGGTGTTGTAATCCCTGTCAATTATACTATGCTGCTTATTCTCTTTCACTTGGTGTTTGATGCATAGAGATGTTTCCTCTGATATACAGTCACAGGTTTTCTAGTAGTAGAGTCTTGGATGAGGCTTTTACACCTTGATAAATCTTATATCTCAGTCATGTTTCCTCAGTGCTTTCTGTTTTATATTAATTGTGATTGTGATAATTTGTAACAGAAATAAAATTATGATAATTTAATTTCTTATGTTCTTTTTCCTAAATACTGCTTGCAAAGTATGAGTGTCCCATTCCTCATTTATGTTTCCATCAGATGCATTTTTCTTTACTGAATCTCAAATTCATCTCAAGAAAGACATCATTTGGTTCTGTTTATTTTGAAAGTTTATTTTATTTTGAAAATAAGCAATATCACTTAATAGCTTCACACCAAATCCTTCTCTTCGACATGTATTCATAATTTCTAATATTTACTGATAATTGAAGAATGGCTTTGAAGTTTATGGGGATGCAGAGAAAATTAAGATTTCCTGTTAACCCTGGCACTGATCAAAGTGTCTTGAGTAAGATCATTATTAATAGATGAAAAAAACTTTGACAATGTAAAAAAAGAAAAAAAGTCTGTATTTTTAACCTTCAAATATTTAAGGCAATTTTATCTGTTAATCTCACAATCTGGAAAAATTTTCCCTGCCACCATCTCTTCCTGTAC